AAGATAAAAAAGATTTAAAAGGGATTACTAATTAAATTTATTTTAATTAACAATAAAATATATTCCGTTGATGATATTTCAAATTAGAAATAAATAAAAAAATATTTAAAAAGGACCACTGATGAAATTTATTTAAATCAATGATCCTTTTTAAATCTTTTTTTATTATTTTTAATTTGAAAAATCACTGACAGAATATATTTTATTTTTAATTAAAATATATTTCATCAATAATTTTTTTTAAATCTAAGTACTTTTTAGTAAATATAAGTACTTTTTTTGTATATTTGTTTCATTTTATAGATGTAAGTACTTTTTTGGTTCAAAAAATGTTTAGGGACTTGATCATTTAAAATATGAAAGTTCATTGGCTTTTTTCAGACTTTTTCCATTACCACATTAACCAGTTGTATAGGTCATGAAGATGTATCTAACATCCAAAGGGGCAAGGAGTTATTTAACAGGTTTTGGAATGTCCAAGGACTTATTTGTTCCAAAAAATTGTCCAAGTACCTAATCATTCCAAGCATAAAGTCCATTGGGTTTTTTAGACTTTTCCCTAGATTCTTAAGGTAATCCCAACTAGGCATTGCACAAAGGAAGTATTAGGTTTCATCAAATTTAGAAAAGCTACAGATGCATATATCCATATTCTTTCAGTATGAAAGAGACCACAAAGTCATTCACTCAGATTCTTGTTGTCATCATTAAGGGGTGCACATCCTCAAATTTAYGACGACATCAAAGTCAATTCTCATAAGATAACTTATGAACTCTATCCAGATCAGCTCTTATATYATTTCTATCTAGTATCGACTGTAACCAAATACATATCATCTTCAGACAGTCTATACATGCGCATGGACTACTTGCAACTTCTTAGAGCTGCAATCAATTTCTTTCCAAAACAATCCATAAGGTTTAGAAAACCAAATATGAAAGAAGACATTACATACCACTTGTCTCATCCAGTACCTCTTGCCAGTCGTCTGGAAGAAACGTAGATGATGGTGGCTGTGAGTTCAAGGAAGTCCCGGTAGGTCTTCCCCACTGACTTTTTCCAGACTTCTCATTGTAATAGAAGACACAACCACTTGTTGGGTCCCTAGATTCAATCTACATAATAGTCATAAAAACCAAGAGAGCATAAGACATTATGTACAGAAAAAGTAAATAAATATTAGATACCGATATCAAAAGTTTTTGGCAGATTTTGAACATGCAGCCRCTTGAATGTCACAATCATACAATAAACAATGGAAACAATGTTATCATGCCTGCAAGATATGAATTTTTCCTCAAAATGTATAATAAAMTTGGCTCTAGTTCTGGCATAAGTCTGCACCAAAGTCTACGGCTTTAAGCTAATACCAAAACATCCAATATTACCTCAAAGCAGAGAATAACACCACCAATGAATTACATTTGGTGATCTTAGGATATCTCAGTTCTTAAAGTGGTGTAGCTTTCAAATAAAGTAGCCTTCTCATTGGTGATCAACATCATGCCTTCAAATATTAGTACATAAATAATTGAACAAAACTATTGCCATCTTCTACTCATATCCACTGAGAAAGAGCCACTAGAAAGTATGTCAAAAGTTCATGATGGAACTGGGTTCCTMAAGTATCTTGGTCTCAGGACATGAGAGAAACATATTCCAATTGATCTTTTCTGATAGATAAACTACAGCGTATGCCTAAGGAAAGAGTTTCTGCACCAAATCATGTACTGGAGACTCTGAAATAGAGTCTATTTACTAATAAGAGAGTCAGTTCACTAATGAAAGAGCTCAACCATTTAGTCTACAGTCCCCACCTTATTATAATTAAAAAAATTGTCAAGCAACATCTAGCACTTGCAATTTGCACTCATTTTTTTATATATTTTGTGCTAAATAACTTATTTAAATTGCAYGATAAAGGTCAGGTATTCACTAAAATGTACAAGAAATGTGAGAACAGAAGAAATARGAGCAAACAGGGAAAGAAGAACAGAAGGGAAGATTCACACACAACTAACTGGCCCAAAGCATAATCATATCAAAGATGAGAACAGATGAGATAGGAGTAAACAGGGAAATAAGAACAGAAGGGAAGATTGCCACTCAACTCACTGACCCAAAGCACAATCACTCTTTAATAACCTGTTGTAGTTATCATATCTTAGCATAGCTAGGATTAGTGATGGCAAAGAAACCCATACTCTATACCCGAACCCAATTTGACTGGGAACCCCAAGTTTGATTGTTTCTGGAGAAACTTTTGGTGATATAACAACGTGGTTGTATAAAATTTCAATTATTAAGTATTCTAATTTAAAATATTTATGTTTGAACTAGGTTTGTTTGATGTTATTCTTATACATATGAACAACTAAAACTTGGCTGATTAAAGTTTTAACACGATATGTTGTCAAACGTGAAATTGGATTTATATATATAAACATATTACATAAAAAATTAAGTTGTGTACATGGGAAAAATTTCATGAATCCCTAATGGTAATCCCTGTTCCTCGATGGGGATGAAATCTTATTCCCCGACAAGGATGGGGATGGAGACCAAGTATCAGGGTCCCTGGTACTACCTCCGACCCCGTTACTATCTCTAGCTAGGATGCTATTAGCATATATAAGAAATCACTAGGTATATTTCCACTTGAAACTATTTAGATAAATAATCTAATGGACATTATAAATTTTTAAACATTCTCTTTTTCTCTCTATTTATATCTCTCTCTGTGTGTGTATATGTGTGCAGGGGCGGAGTTACATTCATGTGGTAGGGGCCCTTTCCCCCAACAAAATATCTAACTGAGTGGTGAATGTACTTATTTTTAGCTAAAATCCCAAATAGAATGCCCCAACAATTTGTTTTTTCTACATGACTGGACCTCCATTTCTTTGATTTTATTTCCTATACTATTAATTTGATATACCATTATTTTCGTTCCTTTTTTTCCAATTTCCTTTTATCATTTTATAGACCAACATTCATTATTATTCATTAATTATTAGTTCTCTATTTGTTAATTGTTGTTTGATTTAGGGTTCAGAGTATGYTATTTAATTTATAGTTTGATATTTTGATTTTAGGGGTTGCTACTAGCTTGTCTTCTATTTCTGGTTTTTTGTTATCTGATTTCTATCTATCTCAATCTAATTTCTTGGTCTTTTGAACTCTGACTTCTTGCTACTGATTACTAATTTATATGTTCATTAACCATATATTATGCATTCTAATTTATCTTTCAYTAGGTTTGTTCCAAATTGGTTTAAGCAGTAGGGAATCCAATGAWAGATAAATCAGAATGCATAATATATAGTTAATAGACATATAGATTAGTAGTCGGTAGCAAGAAATCTGAGGGCATAAGATCAAAATTTAGATTMGAATTGATAGAAATGAGATAACAAAAGGCCAAGAAGCCAGAAATAAAAAACAAACTAGTAGCAAAACCTAAATCAAAATAACAAACCGTTAATTAAGTAACATACTCAAGAACCCTAAATCAAATAACAATTAACAAKTAGAGAACTAATAATTAATGAATAACAATAAATGTCTCTCCATAAAATAATAAAATGCAAAAAGAAATTTGGAAAAAAGAACAAAAATAATGGTTTATCAAACTAWTAGTATAGCAAACAAAATCAAAAAAATGAAAATAGAGATGCAGTCATGYAGAAAAAATAAATTGTTGGGGCATTCTAGGGATTTTAGCTAAAAATAAATATATTCACCACTTTAGTTGAATATTTTGTTGGGGGCAAGTGCCCTCTACACTGGAATGTAAATCTACCCACCCCCGAAGTGTGATCCCAATCATAAAAGTTTCTAGATCCGCCACTATGTGTATGCATGGTGGGTTCGTTTGGTTTGTACATGCAACACCCAAGTAGTTTCTTCCTCCTATGTTTTTGCCAAAAAATTAAAAGAGCCAAAGTGATATGAACTTGCAACATCTAATGCCACATGCAATGACACTACAATCAGGTGCAACCACTTTTTGYTAACTTAGGGGAGTTACCATCAAATTAAAACGGTTGTACCTTTAAGACTCCTAAAAAAATTCCACGACATCGGCACGACAGAGTGGTGGCACAAGCACCCCTCCCTCTTTAAATCTGCCCCTAAGTTAGGTATATATATGTATGTACATAAATAAACGTAGATGTAGATGTAGATGTAGATGTAGACATAGATGTAGACATAGACCTATAAACACACGCAGATCCACAGGATAAGTAATGCTTGAGAAAGAGTCATCTTTGCATGAAGCACATGCACCGATTGGATGGCACCATAGAGAACTAATGTGTGCAGAGGCATCTTCCTGCAGCACTATTATCTACAGGGATACTTCAACATGTGCCTATCTCAAGAACATTATACGAGGTTAGGTAACTTTTGACATCCAACATGTGGTGTTGTTCCATCTCCATAAAGCTTATTGGGTTCAGCATATTACCTTATGCATGACTTCATAAAGCTTCACTTCTTCTATACTAGGAATTTCTCCTTTTTCCACTTCCTTTTAAGGTGCATGTCTATCCGCACTATACATGCATTTCCTATTAATCTATTATACATAATTTTTTTAGTTACTAGTAATTTCTTCCTAATATGTATTAACATAATTTATGGAGAGAGAGAGTTGGATAAACATTCATTAGACCAAAAATACRATTCTAAGATAAATATAATTCCTTTTCTAACATATTAGCTAAACTTCCAAATTTCTTTGGTAGGATTTCTACCAGCTTAGAACTAAAATCAAATAACCTAGAAAAACTATCAAATTAAATACATCTAACAATTAGCAAGCAGTTATACTCACCCATCCTGGTGGTAATGTTGCAGGCGTCTTGATTTCATGTGATTGCCTGACTTGATTCTTCAACTTCTGCAACATAAGGTAGGAAGAAGACAATCAACAATGTACTGGATCACATTACAAATCACAGGGAAAGTATATAGACAAAAAGATATAGATACCAACTTACATTATCAGATACAGTACTGGTATCATCCTTAACAGGTTCATCTTTCAGAATTCCCCTAGCTTTCAGCTTTTGCTTGAGGTACTCMGGCAAATCATTGGAATTAGGTTTTTGTTTAGGCTGTTCAGATATGCTTTGGCCTGATTCATGCTTTTCATTGCCATTACTTCCTGTGGTTAAAACCAATAACCGAATGATAAACGAAGTTCTACAGGTACATGTACGAAAAACATAATGATACACATTGCCATAGTGACACCATGGGCTTACCAGATGAAACAGTGTTAGACCTTGAAGCACCATAATAAGCACCTCCACCAGGTACACCATACCCATTTCCAATCTCCACATTACCTACAAGCAATGTGAACACACGGTATTAACACCTAAGAGCGAAGATGTTTGATAATAATCTATAACAAATGCAATATATATGTGCAGTACATATATAATCAATTTAACAGATACCTATACCCAATATATATGAAACAAAATTAACACACCATCCAAGCTCCCAACTCCCATCGAGTTAGAGCTTTGTGTCCCCAAACCCATTCWCAAATTGAAGAGTAGAGCACACTTGAGTAACACACATGCACACTAAAAAATAAATCAAAAATGTGAATGGTTCTCCTTTTAACACCCTAAGTCTCTTGTGTGTTGACTATAATATCATGTGTAAGCAATTTGTTAGATACACTTGAAAGCCCAACACTGAAACTAAATATTGCATYTTCTCAGTTTCTCAAAGATGATCTCTCAGAACTCCATCAAAACAAGTGCTCAGGGAAGTACATGTTTTGTCTTCACTCGAAAAATAATTGTTACATACACCACCCCTTCCCCCAAGAAAAAGAAAAGAATTCCTTATTGAAATCCTTCTGCCAGCAAATAAACTGCAAAAATTAACCCCATTTGATAGTCAACGTGTGACGTCCCAAATTCTAAAATGGGTGTCGTTASGTTCTTTACACAAGTCTTATGAGAGAAACTAAATTTAACTTTATTTCTTTTATATCTTAATACTACATCAGAGTTAAAACATAAGCAGAAAACTTCATAAGCGAAAAATGCCTAAAGGCTAAAATACTATTTCAACGGCTTAAAATACATCAGAATTCTGTTAAAATAGTAACTACTTCATGAGGTCCCTACTCCTTTCCTGAGACACATACATGGAATACATAAGCTTTAAGCTTAGTGAGTAGTTATGGTTTCATGAATAAATAATTTTCATAATACTTGAWTAATAATTCAAAAAAACACTTGTCATGCATAAAACATTCTTTTGAGACCTCACTTGCCACATGTAAGTATACCATACTTGACTTGAGGTTTGCYAACCCCCTCGGGTCTATAAAGTCTGCCCATAAGGTTCATTTGAAAGACATCCTTTCATCCTATATCCCGTACGTTGGATATTTATGGTCATACATAACATGCATAAAACTTTCATGCCTTATGTGTAAAACACATCATAACATGCCATGATACATATATCTTGAATATATAAATGCATCGACATTTTCATGTAAGGCAAACATGCCAAAACATCTTATCAAGTTTCTTCATAATGCATAAAATACATTTATATAGCATGTAYGTATCTTAGTAAATCTCATAAGTACTCACCYTGATTATGCCTAGCTTTTCCCTTAATTCCTTTCTTCAAGCCTGATTATGTATAAAGAGAGAGATTTCTTATTTTTSGTATGGAGCTAATAGTAACACTTCAACCCCTACTTATAGATAAATTCATTGCATAAGCTACTTGTTCTTTTTGCTCTCAAACATGTACTCTTATGAGAGTTTAACACCTCCTACTTGAGGATAAGAGAATCTTGACACCTCATGCTTCTAGGAAGAGAATCTTGACACATCATGCTTAATATAAAGSAATCTTGACACRTCATGCTTCTATTTTGTTTGTCATCATGAATTTTGCCAACACATGCTTCTAGCCCATACGATTCATTACTTTAGGTTTGATTTCTCTTCTAGCTTTTATTTGTCATCATGAATTTTGCCCACACATGCTACAGCTGCTGGAATCTTTTRCATAGTCATAACCCTTGTATTCAAGGCTTAAACATAAAAWTTTAACTTAATATAAAAGTAGGGGTTACAATTCTYCCCTTCTTACAAGAATTTCGTCCTCRAAATTTTTTACTAAAAAAGATGTGGGCACTTATTTCTTATTTCTAATTCGACTTTACATGTTGCCTCTKGTCCATGTGAACAGTCCCAATATACTAATACCAATTATACCTCCTTATTTCGAAGCTTCTTAACTTTACGTTAAGTTACGGCTATGGGCTTTTCTACGAAAACGAGTTTGTYATTAAATTATATTTCTTCAACTGGAACCACGTCTTCTTTGGCAAGRCATTTCTTTAAATTGGACAAATGAAAAGTATTACTGCTCCTACCTTTTCAATCATTTTTTAATGGTCCGATGTATCGTGGTCGTAGCTTACCCTTTTTGCCAAAASATAGGACCTTCCATGGTGATACTTTCAATAACACCTTGTCACCAACTTGGAATTCAATAGGCTTCCTTCTCTTGTTGGCATAGCTTTTYTGCCTATCCTATGCGACTTTGAGTGTTTCTCTTATTTGAGTTGCCTTGGCGGTCGTTTGTGGGATAATTTTAGRTCCGACTAAGTGCTTCTCACCAACCTCCTTCCAACAKACACGTATTYTGCATTTTCTTCYGTATAGAACTTCATACGTTGTTGCTTTGATACTATTATGGTAACTGTTGTTATAAGAGAACTCAATAAGGGGTAAATGGTTGTCCCAATGACCTTTCAAGTCGATTRCACAWGCTCGTAACATATCTTCTAAGATCTAAATTGTCCTTTCACTTTGACCATMAATTTGRGGATGATATGCCATACTCATCCTAATTTGCGAACCCAACTGCTTTTGGAAGCTTTTCCAAAATTTTAAAGTAAAACGGAGATCTTGATCTKATACAATCGATATTGGTACRCCATGTCTTGAAACAAGTTCATCTATGTACATCTTGGCTAACGTCTCCAATATCTGTCTTTCCTTGATTGGCAGAAAATGYGTTGTTTTGGTCAATCGATCAACAATCACCCMTATAGCATCAAAACCCTTTGTTGTTCCTGGCAACCTTGTTACGAAATCCATTTGCCTTGTAAGCWACTTCTAATTGATAAATATGGTAACCTAAGGATGCTACAGCTGCTAGAATCTTTTGCATAATCATACCCTTGTATTCAAGGCCTAATACATAAAAATTTAACTTAATATAAAAGTAGGGTGGTACACAACATAAATATGAACCCTCTCCTTCATGCTACCAAAACCTCAGACGCTTGCAAGGTATTGAACCAAAACTGGATTTTAACATTTTCACTTGTCTTTTATGGTGCAAAGGGATTGCAGATGTGATTGTGGATTCCATTTACTTGTGTGAGGAGAAACAGGATGAGCCACACTAAATGGAGATAAATGGTGTAAATGGGGGAATGGAGTTGATCAAAGGGCTTAGCATGCAAGGGTGCTTTCCTAACAGTAACATCAAATGATCAATATACGAGGGTATCTAGGGTAGCATCAATAGTAGAGGAATGAGTAGGAGGCATACACGAGGGTGGAGCATAAGTCTCATAAGAGCTAAAATAATATATAGGGATTGTATCMATGTCTTTCCTCCTAGAGCACACCTAAGAGGTGGAGCAATTGGTACAGTCATCATAGTCAAAGATTAACAAGGACAACAAAACTAAGTTCAACCAGGTTTTCTAGATATTGATCTTCTATCAGACTTCAATACTCAAAGYTTAAACTTAGAAAAAGAAGGTAGACTCTAGAGGAACTGTGAAATGGGTGCTCTTGTGTGGCCTGCAGTACTTAATAAAAATGCACGAGTCTGCAAGTCTGCAAAAATTTCCAGTGTGATCATATTAAGATGAAAGTTGTGCATACAGCATATGCAACCACATTTTCTTGTCGACATTGAAAARGGAGCCATAAAAAACTAAACTTGACAAGGTATTTGCCCAGTAGATGGTGAACAATGAGTTAGATTACTGACAACCACGATCGCAACAGCCACCCCCCCCAAACACACACACACCAACACCGGCGAGAAATTATGAAAAATAACCTCATATGAGTCACCTCTAGCAAATGTGTTCATGGGTTRGGAAGTAAAATTTTATTAAGGAATGCAAGCACAAGATGATTCATGTAGTGTAAACCTAGTAAAATCAAGAGAAAGGTATCCTTCCACGTTATCACTTTGAGGGATTTCGACAAAGGTACCAAATCAAGAACAGATATACTTACAGAGAACAAACAAACTGAAAAAAAAAATTAGCCAGTGTTGTACCAAGCATAATACATTAGTCTAAAAAAAATAAACGATAAAAAGTATCCAAACCTCTAATTGATTCAACATGACGAGGATCGCAACATTAGAATGAATGAATTCAAAGATTACCCTAGACGTAGATTCACTCCTACAACAAGCATGAACGTGTAACCCATTTGACATGGCTCAAGACAATCTAGAAGTTGTTTCAATCATAGGTTCAGTTTATTTTAATTGTTCAAGAGAAGGATGACCAACCAGTCATGTATATCTTGAATGCTACTCTCACTCACGTACCAAACACCAGATAAGGTTAGTTTAACATCCGAGAAACCCCAACTTCGAAGGTACAACAAATGTAATAGATGTGACACAACACTTCCAATCTTATGTTATTCTTTACTTACAAAACAATATTTAGCACACATGACTACATGAGAAACTAAATGAAGTCCTAAAACTTACCAACTCAAGCATTGAAAGAAAATCATAGAGCAATCAGACCACCAATTCAAAAWGTTGTCACCCTAAGTATTAGCATCCACTGCAATAAGGAAGTCTTCAAGAGCAGCGCATGCAAATCATGAACAAATCAGCATATCCACTTCAATAGATTACAAAAACATAGTCGGTGATATTTTATGCCCCTGCGACCAAGTTATGGCAGGAGTAGAGTTGTAGTAATGAAAATGTCATGAAGGTTCCATAGACATAAAACARGGGACAGGGAGCCATGGTGGTTGTGACGGGGTCAGAACCTATCAGTGAAGCCTGTTTAGTTCACTGMAATGACTTAATTGTGTGCCAGTGACAAACTAATTGAGGCAAAACAGCAAAGGCGATCTTCGACGGCAACCCTCACAAGTCAGAATGAGCATGGATACAACCAACAAAAAAGCCTATCAAACAAAACAATGGCCACAAAGATAAAGACAAGTTGTTGGCAGGTCAATTTATACTACAGATATTGATACACGAGCTGTCTGCACAGGCATCATAGTGTTGGCAAGGAGCATGGACTGTAGTGTTAGGGTTTGCATCTAGAGTTGCAGCTCTAATATCATGTAGAAAGGTTCTCAGAAGAAGGTTTTTTCATAATTGCTAGAAGTGAGAACAAATTCAAGTCAAAGGTAGAAATGTAAAGCATGAGGAAACCTTGGAAGACAATATAAGACCTAAARGTGTAAATTTTACATGTTTATCCTACATCTCCAACAATTGGTTCAAATATTGGGTCGCATGTACATCATATTTCTGAGGCAGAGGATACATAAATGGTCAGTTTTCGTATACACRGGCAACACATACTTAGATCCCAAAGCACACCTTCAATCCACAAATTTGAAAAACTTAAATCAAACTATAACAGTAAAAAATAACAATTCTTTTAAACCCTGCACTAATGTTTATTGGGAATAAGCTGCATTTATCTAATAGAAAATATCAAATCCAACCCCAACTTTAGTAGTGGATCAATAAAAGTAAGTGATTCTAGTCTAATTACATCCTGATTTCATTAAAAATTTAAAACAGCCTATCATTCAACTCACTGTCATTTGGTTATAGGATATTATCGACAGAAGCTACTCATGTTTCTCTTCTTTCTAGGATTGGTTCAACTTAACACAACCTCTTAAAAGATATTATCGTCTACCCCAACTAAAGGGCAGCTTTTTTGAAAACTTCAAATACAACAAAAGAAAAACAAAATCTATAGCTCCCAATTCATGATATTGTCAACAACCAAGAAAGCTCATAAAGTGTCTCCAATACAGTAAGGTAACTATAAATGTATTCCMATCTCTAATGCCCTTGAGTTATTGTCAAGGAACATCAGGGGTTCGTAATTGGAATGAATCACTCAAGGAATGAGTGTATAAGCCGAGTAAAGTGTTAAAGCAAACWGCCCAAGGAAGGAATGACATCTTAACAGTTTCAGTTTGAAGCTACCATGAGAATCTTTTTGCTATAGGGTACATATATTCCTCTACAACAGCATCCTCAACCCCTATTTGTTCAATAGATTATTGCATCAAACAAACCAAAATATTGAACTAACCTTCTGAAGAGGCAGGTTTGCCACGCTTTAAGGCCATCTGAGAACGATGATCTGTTGTTATCTTCAGTAGATGTTCCTACATCRAGAAGTTTCAATATCAGGTTTAGTGAATCATTTGGATAGAATGCTAACTATAAAACCTTGTCACTGTGAACACCTTTATAGCACTAGGATCATGACGTCCGGAGAAGATGTCAGAGTTCTCCTCATGGGATCCACTTGCAGCCCTTGCTTCTCTAGTTCACAAAATAACATTTAGATATTATCATATGATGAATCATTCAGCATAGTTATTATGATGAAGAGAACATATTAAACCTTTGATCAAGTATAACTTTCTGCGTCACAATTTCCTGAAAATATAATCATTTTTTCTCTGAATCAGCAGCAAAAGAAAACAATAATACAAATACAAAAGGAAGGGAATAAAGAGGCATATTCGGGCATACTTGTTCCCGTAGCACCGCATCYTGAGCAGCAATTTCAATATCATTAGAATTTCCAAATTGCATGCTCGAGTGATTGGGTGTATCACGATGACCTAATGCATTATACATATTGAAGAAAGGGTTATCAAAATGTAGAATGACGAATTACTTCAGGATATGTGTCTTCAATAACTTAAATAGTTGTGCAAATTTTAACTGTTTCACTTAAAATCTTAATTACATAATTACATTCCATAGGGGATCAGTTAAAATCTTAATTACATAATTACATTCCATAGGGGATCTCTTACCATTTTCCTCTTGTGCTCTCCCTTGCTGCTCTTCATATGAAACATGATCTTGTTGAGCTTTTAATGGTTCAGAACAGCCCAACTGGCCAGACAATCCTTTACTATTACCTTCCAAAGAATCTCCACCTATCTGAGAAGTTTCAGAGCCAGTAGTGGTATTATATGTAATCGGGAATTGACAAGACAATGAAGGCGCATAAGGTGCATGATGAGGACTATACTGTGGACGAGAGTTTCCAGAGGGAGGAGTATGGCCCACATTAGAAGGGTGAATATGGTAGAAATTGTTCTCGGCATAGTAAGAATGTTGGTGAACATTAACAAAATTTTGGAAAGACTGAGGAGGATGCTGGGCAGATAGATTTGAAGAGGCTAACTGTTGTGAAGAATTTGGTAAGCACTGAACACCAGGAGGGAGAGGTTGGTCGTAGTTATTAGCCATGAACTTCGTATGTTACGCCTATTGATATTATATAACGGTCCTGTAGTATGATAGAGTGCTTAAGTGGTAAAAAGACTGCACCGATGGAGACAACAAAGAAGCAGAATTCACCTGCAAGACATTTTCAAAAAGTAGCTATTTATCGACATGCTGCAAAGGGAGCAATTACAAGATGAAAAGATGACTTTTACAAGCAAGTTGGAGCTAAAACAGAGTTTCGTACTTCCCTGTAGCTAGTCCACCCAGCAAGCAACAAGAAAGGTCAGAGCTAAGAACTCATACACAAAAATCAACAACAATAAGACAACCTACATGTTGACATAGTTCTACAATCTTAAGCAAGTTTTTTAATTCAAACACAACAGTGCTAGTAATATAACACTGCTTAAATAATTTGTATACCAACCAGAGCATGATCTTATGTCTCATGATCGCAACATGCCGACAATGAAAAATAGTCTAAACCAATTTCTCCTGTTGAAGTTATCTCAAGCATTGTTGTTGGGAATTTCTCCAACAAATTTCTTACACCATACCACAATCTGTTGCATTATATACAAAATGGAAAAAAAACACATTATAAAGAATGATAAAAGAAAAGTTGTCCCGAGCAACGAAGTCCTGCTACAGCCAGCTGTTTCAATGATGATTTCGGGTTGTGGTAAGCTTGATTGATCCAAAGCCAAAGTGTAGCTCTCACTCTGAACTCAAATATATTGTTGAACACAATAAATGAATTTAAAAGAAACTTGAAAAMATTTCAAGCGACTATAATTGCAAATTCAAGTACAATGTACGATTGATTCATATATCTAATTCATTCAACGTTTCCTAATCAATATACCAGCCTTAACCACAGTTCAAATACAGTAACCAAACCCTAGGAGAAAAATAACCTTTGATGATTTTCAAACCAGTTCGTAATAGAATTCGAACAAGAAAATTTCGAAAAAAAATATGTTACAGAAACTAAAATCTATGGTGGGCTTTGATACGCAACACAAACCTGGTTAATTGTCACAGGCATAAGAAATTGCGATGGGAATTCTTCGGGTAATTTGCGGCAGAAATTGCTATGAGAAATGGCCAAGGGACACATTTGTTCATTTCRGTATGTTACACAATCAGTCCCTGTAAAATGCTCAGAATGCAATATAAGTTTGATTTCAAAATTTCTACCGTGTTTGGTCCCTAAACTTCAAATAATTTTAAAACGTATTTCTACTCTTTTTCTATTTTGGTCACAAATTTTAGAAATYGATACTAAAACCACTATATTTTCCAAATATGATTATTGAGTGAAGTAGGTCATTGAGGTTTAATGAAATTTCTTAGAATGGTATATAATCTTCCAATAAATCTAGAAATCATTGTTGTGGTTTATATTTTGTTTTTGAAAATGTTTATTGACATTAACTTCGTTAAATAAGGGATATTTTAGTCTTTTACCCTTTTATCAACTTTCTTTTATGAATTAAAAAGATATTTATATTATTTATGTATCGTATATTATACATATAGAGAGAGGTTCAAGGAAAAACTCTAAAAAACAAAAAAAATGAGGACCACTCTTGTAATTATTTATCTAGAGAGTATGCATATTATGTGCATAAAACTAATTGAAGTTGTTTCATGTGCATAGAAGACAACACCAACCATAGTAAAGAAGAAAGTTCAAAGGTTTACAATGTCACAAAATTACAACTTTTCAAAAGAGAAATAACATGATTGATAAAAAGAGAAAAACGATATGCTGCCACATGATACCTTCCTATATGCCAACCTTATTGATGAACACCTGAAAAGCATGCCGAAGAAGGAGGTCAACTACTGAAATAGTTRGTGAGTTCACRRTTTAAAAAAAATAATAAGTAAGAAGTTTAACTYGCAAAACGGTTTAATCCACACATTRGATAAGTAAYCGGTAGTTTGTAGCGCACAAGGTAAATTGTATGCTTAAATGCTAAAGCCACGAGCCCACTACCAAACATAATGACAGCACACCCCGCGACTACATGTTTTATCGCCAAAATGAGTAAATGAAAYAATAATTATGCACTAACGCACAGTGTGAGTGGGGTGTCAACCAAATAGCGCTATCCATAATTACCAAYRGTTCAAATAAATGTATTAATAGRTAGTGTAAGGGAACGRGGATTTAAGAGCGATAGCTAAACAAAACTYAGGCAAACTAACATAAGCATACATACCAAAGTGCAATAGCAATAAGAATAATTTAACAATTCGCGTATAATTGAACAACCGGTACGTAGTATTAGTAGCACGCTTTTCCCTCAAAAATGCGAAAATAGTAAAAGGGGGCTGTGAAAACTCACCAAGATATGCAAAGACTAATTCAAAAAATCTACCGAATGCAACCAAGGTCCGGTTCTACTTCGGTCCTACGAAAATCGAACTACTAATGAGATTCGAGCCTAGATCTTAAGGTTCCGGTGATACTTAATTATTATAAAATGCCTTATGRAAAAAAACTGAATTTTATTTGAGTTATTATTTATGGAAGAAAAATAAAAATAAAAAGAAAGAAAAAGTAAATAGCTTTTATTATTTCAATAATTTTATGAAGAAGAGGGRTAAACAATTTTTTTACACATRAACACCTCATTTTATTTTTAAGYTTTGCTGTCRGGATTTTTCTGTTATTTTATGCGGTTCTTTATTTGCCTTCCAAAATCATTTGAGTCAGGGGKTTTTTACCCAAGTTAATATATCAAGATAGGAGRCTTTTGATRTAGGAAACATAAATTTTGAAGATGGATAGGTCCCTAAAGTAGGTTTTATAAGATCARCTATCCAGAAGGTTTAGCTGTTTGCGCATTTGTTTTATGTAGACTGTTTGGGGGTCGAAATCTCAACGTTTTTAGGTGAGACYACTTTGGTTTAAAAGCTAACACACATACTTAAATTCCGAAGAAATTTCATCTTATTTGGTTAGGTATTTTARAAGTTATGGTCCTCCGAAGTCAGTAGTTAGAATATGACAGATTGGTSTAGGAAGGGGTATTAAGAACTTGTGTTCCAACCTTTGATTCTCACACACCCTTTATTTAGATCATGATTTATAAACTTTAAATCAAAAGAAAAGAAAAAAAAWWWT